AATGTGAGAATCCAGCTTTTTAAAGTTTTTTTTCAGTTTATTATTTAATTCAGCTGATTGCATTTTTTTAAAAGTTCTATTTAGTTATATTTTTCTAATCCCACTTGTCAATTTTGAGTCCATTGTTTTCCATAACATAACTTTATTCTATATTTTCTGTTTTATAATTCTGATGTCGTCTATATATGTGTACTGTATATAATCATATATATAATATATACACACAAACATGTAGTAGTGTGATTATATATACTGATATTTTATAATATAGATATGTTTATAATAGTCTGGTGACTATTATTAATGGTGCTAATTTACTAATATGCATTTGGTAATATATATTTTATGGAGAGCTCATATTATCTAAAATAGTAACAGAATCTGTGAGAATTCTTTGGAGCTTGGGATGAAGGTTAGTTCATTCAGAAATAACTTGTTTTCCTTTTTCCAGACATTTAGAGTCACTAAACCTATTATAATTTGAAAATAAATGCTTAATTCAAGGGTTTTATTGCCTCATAGATGGCGTGGACTCTAGCACCAGTACCATGAGCTTATGGTTAGGAATTTTCAGAAAGACTTTTTTCCTTTTTCCATTCCATTCAGCACCAGGACTAAGAGGGGAAAATATCTTCAGGAAATCTCTCTGTGGGATGGGCTTGTTCGCCCTTTGGGGATTTATGTAGGAGGATTTCCACATTTGATCTTTCACATACTTGGCCACTCGCTCCATGGTTTTCTTACCCCTATGATTACACTTTATTTTTCTTTCACAGTTTTGGAAAAATTTTGTTACTTTTCTACCACCTCATATAGTTTAAATATTTTATACAGAATTTTTAACTGTGCTAATTGGGGAGGGGTTTCATAAAAATCCAAGTCACCGTATTGTGATCTTTCCCTTGTGCTCAGGTAACTCTTGCTTAATAGTGAGATCTTGCAGTCATTTAATAAATACTTGTTGAATAGATACATGAGTGAACAAAAGTAAAAGATAAAGATCCTTGTCTTGATGGAGATGTGTCCTAATGGCTAGAGGATATAATATACCATAAACATAATCAATAAATTAGAAAGTAAGTTAGGTGAAAAAAAACATGGGGAAAAAATCAAAGGAGGGTAAAGGAGCTGGGAGGAGCAGGTTAAGCTGTAGTGTAAAGTAGAGTAGTTGTGGTAGGTCTCAATAAGGAGGTGAGATTTGATTAAAGATGTGAAGTTGGTGAGGAAGACCAGGTTAAGTCTATGGCTTCTTTGACTACTGGGCTGGACATCGAATCTGGATAATCCCTTCTGCCTTGACCTGCGGATGGCTCAAATGCCCTAGCAGTTTTCCTATCTTGCATACTGGGAAGGGGAGGATGGGGCAGATGTAGAAGCAATAGATAGTGGGAGGGAGACTCTAACAACAAATTCAGACCTTCTTCATTTGCCCTATTTTGCGGTGAGCAACTGTTCATATTCTGATAATTTCTGTGAAATAATTCTATAAACGTATTATATAGCAAATTATCTACCTGGAATAGTCTAAGAGACATGTTCAAAATTTAAAATTTCTTTCATCCATAGTTCTCTGTATTTCCTCTATCAATAATTAATAGATTTATGTATAACTTTTCCAAATCACAAATTTGCGATATTAATGTCCATTTATTTTTTATTTCTTTTACAATGTTGCAGGTATTTAATATACATGGGGATATTTTAAATATAATATTCATTCTTTAGAAGAATATCTAGCTAAATGTGCTGTAGAATTCAGAAAGGATTGTATAATTAGACATTAAATAATTAATGCTTGATTCTTATATGCATTTCTATTTTAGAATTTGTCTCTACTTAGCTATAAGTGCTATCTATATTTATCTGCATATAAAATACATTTTCAATAATGAAGAGGTAGTGTTTAATACTGGTTAATGTGCTCATATTTACTTGGTATTGGTATTGATATGGGCTCTTACAGAGATACTCAGTAAATCCAAAGACCCTTCTAACCAAGTTCTTACTTAACATTTTAAAAGCAAACAAAATACATTTATAAGAAAACATACTTAGAAAAATTTCCCCAAAGGGAAAATGAAGTTCAAAAACAGCATTAACCAGTGCTATTCTTTTATACTGTTCTTTCTCTAGTAGTCTATATTTGCAAGGAGAACTGATATCCATTCAGATAATGCATGCCTTACTTGAGCTGCCTCATTGTTGATCCTCAGATGCACTCTTGTTCCAAAACTGTGTTTTGTTATGTGAGGCTAATGGACTGGGGTTCATCTTAATTAAGAGGATGTCCTTTAATAATCTTTCTAATCACTGGTTTCTATTTAACTGAAACCTTAACTGTCCCGGTGCTGGTGCTAATTGCCAATAGGGCATTATCCTTCTTATCGTAACTTCTTCTACCTGACCTAAAAATTGAAATAAAATGGTTTTATTAGACTCGTGACTATATCCTGGCATATGACAAACAACAGGAAAAAAAAAAAAGAACAATACCTGATGTCCAGTTTTTGTGAATCCTTCTGCTTTTCTTCTCCTTTTCATTTGCCTTAAGTTAAATCAAGTTTGTTCTTTACATGATGATCTAATGCTTTCAGGCTTTAGAATATGAGTCTGAGTTTGGATGAGGCTCTTTAAAATCTAATTTCTAAATACAAATTTAACTTTATTTTGTGAATGTAAATGAATATGAATATGACCTTGAAATAATAATGAACAAAAGTTTGTGTATAGTACGTGACTAAATCTTTTCATTAAAGTTGTGTTATAATCTGTACATATTTCTATGTTGTTTATCATTTTCTATGTAATCCAGGAAGAATGGGTATGCAGGTGACAACATTTATCTTGACATCACTGGCATAGGTTCTCAGAGGCTAAATGAGCAAAATTAGGAAACACAGTGGGGGAAGGAAGTCATTAGTGTGGTTCTTTTTCTAGTCAAAATTAGTAATATTAATATTTAAATTTATTTATTTGTGTGAAGATACAAATTTTTGTTACATGTTATTAAATTCAGGCTGTTTACCTAGAGGAGAAGGGTTTTGCCTTAAGGTCGTCATTGATATATGTATTTGCTATGTTTATCATAAAGGCCATAGACAATTATTCAGGTGGCAAATACCTCTTGTAAGGAATGAGACTTTCTCATAGACTTTGCTACAATGGTTTGGCTTTTCCATGTTGGTTTGACTTCAACACAAAGAAAAATTTCCGTGGCCTTTACCGTCTTTGATATTATATATGCTTTTCTATTACCTGTGTAGGATTTCACTTTCAAGGGAAAATTTACAGTAGTGAGGGTCTGAAAGTTAAAAATAATGGGTTTCTTTAGTATTTGTTTAAGCACATAATTTTCTTATCTATAATGATTGCCAGGAGCCTCTACACCTTTCTTTATATCTCGCTGATTGATTTAAAAGAGTTAAATTGTCTCTACTATCATATAACTTTTTGATAGAGCAGTTTCCCTTATTTTTGAAAGTAAGGCCTGTGAGAAAATCTCTAGTTGCCCATACAATTTACCCATAAATCTACACATATATTATACTTTGACATCTTAAGATAATTTTATAATATCGTTTGGCTGTAAGAAGCATAATATTAAAATTTTACCATACATTTTTATTTAAATGAAGTAAACATTGGTGACAATATAATAACCTTTTAATTTTTTGTTATATACTTTAAGCTCTGAATATTATATGAGGAAAGAGAGACAGCATATCCCCACAAACATGTCAGAAAAATTATTGAAATGCCATTTCACATATCTAAGTATTTTTCCATTGGATGTTGGTGTTTGTTTTTCTTGGTGGTAAATTATATTTAATAGTTGTTACTGTGTTCTTTTTTTAACCATAATTTTTAAAGAACTGTGCTATTCTCTACCTTCCTTATTATTTTGATGACACAATAATTTTGTTATCTTGATATATGCTCTTTTACTCTGGGAAATAAATGGAAATGCTTTTGAATAATTCAAAATCTTATTTTAAACACTCTGTCCACTTTCTAAAATTATGGGAAAGTTACATATGTGTCTTTGTATTTAGGTCATCACTGTTATGTTTGAGATTTTCAGAATAAAATATTGACTGTTCCAGAACAAAGCAAAAATTAATTTGAAATATTACTTTTAATTTCTATATTTATTTCGAATTGATTTAAGTATTTAAATTAAATTATGTTGATAACTTAAAATGTTCTGTAGATCAGGTGATTTTTATTTTAATACATTGATAGTTATAAAGTTATAATAAAGTTCACCTTCAAGTGTATCTTGGCCTCAGGGTGATCACACAAGTTTGAAATAATAATGATATTAATAACATGATTTATTGTGCAGTTCTATGCATCATACTAAGTGCTTCGTATGCACTTACTTATCATAGAATAGGGTATAGAATAAGGACTCCTAATTTTGCCATTTTCAAGATGAAAAGTTTGAAGCTCAGAGGGGTTATATAATTTATTCAAGGTCACATAGGAAGTCGCAGCGTAGGGTTTCAAACCAGGCTGGTATGGCTTCAAAGTCATTGCTTTAATAACTGCTATGTTCAGTAGAGTGTTTGGGCTAGCTCAAGATACGGGCTCTGGAGAGTCAGTTGTTAAATACTCAGTAATTTTGTGAGCTAGCTGTTAAACCATTGACAGTTTGAATTTAGCCATGGTAGAAATATTTACATTTTGGAAATCAGCAAATGCTGCAGATTGAAGCTTCTCCCATACTCCCCTTTCTGTCCCCTACCAGACCATTTATTGGAACACCACTGCCTTTACTGCCAAAGTCTTGTCAATGTTTACATTAGGTTACAGATTTAAATATCAGACTTTTTTTTATCTTATACCAAGTAAGTACTTCCTATAAATTGGCAGTACATTAAGAAATTTGCTATTAATAGTTATTGAATTAAATATGTTAGCTTGTATTGTCATAATATCTAAAATAATTTATATAGAGAATAATGTAAAAAATGATGAACTATCTCTCTTATTTTCAGTGATAGTGGAAAGTGGAAGTATAATTTCTTTTGTGGCTTATATCAATTCTGGATATTGTAACGTTTATAGAAGTATTATAGGATTTGTGAAACTACATTCAAATAAAATGGTAAGTTTTAATCTTGTATACTCTCTTTCATCAGTTAATCTTCTCTGATGAGTGGATATGTTTCATCACCTTTTCCTGTACTTATTGGACTTATGTTTGTATTCTTTTGTGAAATTTATGTTTGCTTTTTTTTTTTTTTAAAGATGATCAGTAAGGGGATCTCAACCCTTGACTTGGTGTTGTCAGCACCACACTCTCACAAGTGAGCAACCGGCCATCCCTATATAGGATCCGAACCCATTTCTTTGGTGTTATAGGCACCGCACTCTCCTGAGTGAGCCACGGGCTGACCCTTCTGTTCACTTTTTGACCATTTTTTGTTGTAGTTGGGTTTCTTTTTCCTGAACTGTAACATATAGGAATGTAAGATAAGTTGTAAGATATAGGAATTACTAATGAGCATATTAAAAGAAGCTTAGCATTCTTATTCGTCAGAAAAATGCAAATTAAAACCATTACCAGTTAGTACTACAAGTATATCAGATTGGCTAAGACACACTTTTGGTATGTGTCTCTTCAGTAAATATCTAGAGAAGAATTGCTGGTTATAACTCAGCAATTTCACTCAAGACATTTACTCAGGAGAACTAAAAATATATGTCCACACAAAGGCTTACATTAATCCTCATAAGCCCCAAACTGGAAGTAATCCAAATGTACATTGACAGTTGCATGAATAGAAGCATTGTGGTATATTTATACAACGGCATGCCACACAGTGGTATAAAGAATTAATGATTCACACAAGAATATGAATTAATTCTAAACTTATTAGGTTGGGCAAACATCAAACCCAGAAGAGTGCACTCATGTGATTCCATTTTTATGAAATTATCGAATAAGCAAAAAACTAATGTGTAGTGATAGAAAAGTTAGAACTAATCCTTCCTGGTTGGTCAGAAGAGTCTTCAATGAAATTCAGTAAAAACGGTAAACTGACTTGAATTTTGCTGCACTAATCATATTGAGTGTGAGTATTTCCCATTTATATAGTTGCAAATATTCAATTTATATTGGCTTTGATCCCTGGATACTTAGTAAAGGCTTCCACTTTTTCGGCATTCTTATCACCCTCCTCCCCTGAGTGCTGTATTCTATCTTTTGAATATTACTATTCACCAACCCAACCTTTCTTCAGCACTGATGTGATCTCCCAGAAAAGATAATTTGGGATCTCAACTTTTTCTTCAGAACCACCCATACTGAAAATACCGTAGGCCTTTCTCCACAAGGTCCCTGATTTGGATCTAATTGCTAGTTTTCTAAATCAAACTCACTTTCTGTATGTTTCTTTTGTATTTAAACAGGAAAGGCAGGGGAGAATTCTTCATCTTTCATTGTATCAAATAGGTTCTGGCTCTGGCACTTTCTGTTTGTTTTTTTTCTTCCTTGTTAGTTAAAACGTTCCTTATACGTGTAACAAATGGTCACTCACAAAACATTCTAAGTTAAACTGTGCTTACGAAATGGTCCCCTAGGATCTTAAAAAATTGAATTAGTTCCATATTTCCTAATCATCTTCATGAATAAAAAATTTAATTGGAAAATCCCTAAATGAAAATGCTTTCAATTAACCTTAGATATGCTGAAGTTGTCTGTTAATTTACTATTGTTCTAATAAAATTTAACCACATGTTAAGTAAATGTTTTCCCTGATATGAATAAAATCACTGATTTATTTTAAATATCGTACTAAAATGATTTATGAACAAGTGAGTTTCTGATAACAGCAGATTTATTATATGAAATTAGTTGCATTAAACATCGGTTATCTCTATCTTTCACAGAAAAAAACGCGAAAACTTGTTTACATGGGTAGACTTAAGGAGAAGGAGTCCTTTGGTGAGATTAGTGTTCTTCTGCAAGAACCTTTCACATGCACAATCATTACTGGAAGAGAGGTTGAGTTGGCAATCATTGAAGATAAGGACCTATGGGGTAAATACCTATTTTTTTAAAATTATAACTGTGATACCATTTTATTGGATGAGTTTTTGAAAAGAGTAGAAACATATCACAGACAAATTAGGATACTAAAGTGAGTATGTGTGAATGTATATTTCCAGAGACAACATATCTATAGATAGCTGCAGTATAATACTATGTTCTAATTTGTTAATGCAACTTTTAGAATATATTAGCAATACTTCAAGAGACTTCCATTTGAAATTACTAAAATATCTCTGTTAATTTCCAAGTTGCTATTAATAGCAGCATCCCTCCTTTTCTGGGGTATCTTTTGGTTTTCATCTCTAAGGTTATTTATTTTATGATTTTGATTTAGGTCAAGTATGCACTATTCTCTTTGTACAGTCTAGATCAAGCATATATGAAAATCCATGACTTGCAGTATTTATGCCTTTATCTGAAATTTTAGAGCTCCAGTATTAAGAAAAAAATAATCATGCAACCACCTGTATTTGGCCCCCCAAATATTATAAATACTCAAATAGGACATGTAATTGAGTGTAAAGTAGAAATGCATAGAGGCTTATAAGTCATATTCTAATAGGATATTAAGGAAAAATATAGCTTCGCATAGAATAAAACTGAGAATGTCAAACAATGGATAAAGGATGAAAGAGGAGAAATCTGTAGAAATTAATATGGGTGAGAAATTTGCATAACTTAACTAAATTGGAGAGATTTTTATGATTATCCTTGTATGACTTGACTGAATTCTCTTATCCTGAATTTCAAGTATTAATGTCTCTTAGAGTAGGTATAATCTATACTTGCTTAACTCTGATTCAAAATGAAAAGAGTAACTTCAAATTTATATATTTACTTTTAAAAGTTATAAATTTGAAATAACATTCATTACTTTTCTTTCCTTCTGTTACATTCAAATACAAAACTGCTTCAAGGTAAACATCATTTAAAAATAATTACTAACCACTTGTGAAAATTACAATGTTCTCACTTAATACAGGCCATGTTTTTAGCTTCCTATACTAATTATCTTAACTGCTGCAGGGCAAATTCACTGTGAACTTTTATGTAAATCAACATTCCATACATTCTATTATTCAGGGTTTTCTAGAGGAAAAAAAACCAATAAACATATAAGAGGAGATTTATTATGGGAATTGGCTCACACAGTTACAAAGGCCACAAAATCCCATGATATGCTATCTGCAAGATAGAGAACAAGGAAAGACACTGGTGTGATTCAGTCTGAGGATGAAGGGCTGAGAAACATGGGAGCAGATGGTGTAACACCAAATCTGAAGCCAAAGGCCTGAAAACCGGGGATGGGGAATATTTGTGTAAGTTCTAGTATCTGAAGGCCCAAGAGCCAGGATGCTGATATCCAAGGGCAGGAGAAGATGGCTGTCCCAGATCAAGAACAGGTAGAGACAGAATTCATTCTTCCTCTGCCTTTTTGCTGTATTCAGGTCATCAGTGGATTGGATGTTGCCTGTGCACACTGGTAACTGTGGATCTTCTTACGTAGTCTATTGATTCAAATGCTAATCTCTCTCATAAACACTCTCACAGCCACACCTGGAATACTGTATTACCAGCTACCTGGACATACCTTAGCCCAATCAAGTTGACATGTAAAATTAACCATTACACACATAAAAGTATTTCAAGCATGTATTAGAATCTCCTTTGCCAGGTATTTTATCCTTTTGGTAGCTATTGTAAATGGGCGTCCTTTTTTTTTTCTTCCTGTTTGTTGTTGGTGTATAAGAACGCTACTGATTTTTGTATGTTGATGTTGCATTCTGCAACTTTACTGAATTCATTCACAAGCTCTATGAGTATTTTTGGTAGAGGTAATAGGTTTTTCTATACATAGGATCATGTCATCTGTGAACAGTGAGAATTTAAATCTGTCTTCCAATTTCAATGCCCTTTATTTTTTTCTTTTGCCTGATTGCTATGGCTAATACTTCCAATACTATGTTAAATAGGAGTGGTGAGAGTAGGCATCCTTGTCTTGTTCCTGCTCTTAAAGGAAAAGGTTTCAACTTTTCCACTTTTAGGACAATGTTGGTGGGTTTGTCATATATAGCTTTTATCATGTTGAGACATCTTCCTTCTATACCTAATTTGTTAAGCGTCTTTATCATGAAGGGATGCTGAATTTTGTCAAATGCTTTTTCTCCATGTATTGAGATAATCATGATTTTTGTCTTTGCTTTTGTTGATGTGGTGTATCACATTTACTGATTTGCACATGTAGAACCATCCTTTCATCCCTGGGACAAATCCCACTTGATCATGGTTCGTAATCATTATGATGTGCTCTTGTATTCTGTTTGCTAATATCTTGGTGAGGATTTTTGCATCTATGTTCACCAAGGATATTGGCCTGTGGCTTTCTTTCTTTTTTGTTGTGTCTTTGTCTGATTTTGATATCAGAATGATGTCTCATTCTACGAGGCCAGAATCACCCTCATACCAAAATCAGACAAAGAATAAATCTGGGAGAATGGCCAGACATATGAACCAGACATGAAGCATCGGACATAGAATGAGTCTGGGAGAAAGGCCTCTGTTTCAATTTTTTGGAACAGTTTAAAAAGTATTGGTGTATAATTAAAATAGGTGGTATAGTACAAGATTTAGTTGTGTTTGTGGATGTGTTATTTACATTTAATTTTTTTTCTATAGTTCACTCATTTTGTGCTGATGTTATAAAGCTACTGACATAGTGTACATCTCATTAAACATTCCCTAAATGAAAATGTGATTGAGGGCTATGTTTTCCTTGTTTTGCCACAACTTGTAAGAAAATAATATATTGTATTTATTTCAGAAAGTATTTTTATTTCTATTTGTAAGTATTTTATATTTTATTCCAAGAGAGTTAAAAATATATTTTATAACACCATACTCTAACCAACTGAGTAAACCAGCCAGCCCTACAAGTACATTTTAAAAACTAAATAATTGTAATGAAAACATTACTGGTTAACTTTGCTAAAGGGATCATCTTCACACATGAAGAATAATGATCTTTCATATTACCTTATTTTGTCTCCATCTATCTCACTCCTTTTATAATCTGAAATATGAATCCATATTCATAAAATAGCATGGACAGGACACAAGAGAAATGACTCATTTTTTTTTGAAGATAAAGTAAAATGAGCCTTAAAAGTATCAAGTTAGATATAGTCCCATTTGTTTATTTTTTCTTTTGCTTCTTGTGCTTTCAGGCTCATGTTCATAAAGCCTGTGCCCTGACGTAACTGCTGAAGTGTTTCACCTGTATTTTCCACTAGTAATTTTATAGTTTCAGGTCTTATACCTAGGTCTTTAATCCATTTTGAGTTGATTTTAGTGTATGGTAGGGGATGCATATCTAGTTTCATTCTTCTGCATATGGATATCCAATTTTTCCAGCACCACTTATTGAAGAGTCAATCTTTTCCCCAATGTAGGTTTTTGTTGCCTTTGTCTAATATCAGATGTCTGTAAGCCTGAGGAGTAACTTCTGAGTTCTCTATTCTACTCCACTGGTCTGAATGTCTATTTTTATACCAGTACCATGCTGTTTTGGTTACAACAGCTTTGTAGTATAATTTGAAGTCAGGCCTCTGGCTTTATTTATTTATTTATTTATTTATTTGCTCAGGATTGCTTTGGCTATCCGGGGTCTTTTGTTTTTCCATATGAAAGGTAAGATTGTTTTTTTCCATTTCTGTGAAGAATGTCATTGGTATTTTGATGGGGATTGCATTGAATCTGTAGATCGCTTTGGGTAGTATAGACATTTTCACAATGTTAATTCTTCCAATACAAGAGCATGGAATATCTTTCCAACTTTTTGTGTCTTCTTTAATTTCTTTCAGAAGTTGTTTGTAGTTCTCATTGTAGAGGTCTTTCACCTCTTTGGTTAAATTGATCCCTAGGTATCTTATTTTTTTTGGTGACAATTGTAAATGGGCCTACTTGCTTTATTTCCCTTTCTGTTAATTCATCATTTGAGTATATAAATGCTACTGACTTGGGGACATTTATTTTGTATCCTGCAATGTTACTGAAGCTATTAACCAGCTCTAGGAGTTTTCTGATAGTCTTTAGGTTTTTCTATATATAGTATCATGGCATCTGCAAATAGAGAAAATTTGACTTCATCTTTTCGAATCTGGATTCCCTTTATTTTTTTCTCTTGCCTGATTGCTCTAGCTAGTGCCTCCAGTACTATGCTGAATAGAAGTGTTGAGAGTGGACATCCTTGTCTTGTTCCTGTCCTTAAGGGGAAGGCCTTCAATTTTTCCCCATTTAGAATGATACTGGTGGTGGGCTTGTCATAAATAGCATTTATTGTGTTAAGATATTTTCCTTCTATGCCTACTTTGCTGAGAATCTTTATCAAGAAGGGATGTTGAATTTTATCAAATGCTTTCTCAGCATGTATTTAGATAATCATATGACCTTTGTCCTTGAGTTTGTTGATGTGGTGTATCACATTTATTGACTTTCATATGTTAAACTATCCTTGTATCCCTGGGATGAATTCCACTTGATCATAGTGTATAATTTTTTAAATATGTTGCTGTATTCTGATTGCTAATATTTTGTTGAGTATTTTAGCATCTAGGTTCATCAAGGATATTGGCCTACAATTTTCTTTTTTGGTTGTGTCTTTATTTGGTTTTGGTATCAGAGTTATGTTGGCCTCACAGAGTGAGTTTGGGAGACTAGTGTCTGTTCCAATTGCTTAGAATACTTTGAGGAGAATTGGTATTAATTCCTCTTTAAAAGTTTTGTAGAATTCAGCTGTCTGGACCTAGATTTTTGTTTTTGTTGGAAGATTGCTAATTACCACTTCAATCTCCTTGCTTGTTGTTGGTCTGTTCAGGTTTTCTATCTCTTCTTGGTTCAGTCTTGGTCACTTATATGTGTCTAGAAACTATATCAAACTGAAAAGTTTCTGCATAGCAAAGGAAACACTCAACAGAGTTAAAAGACAACCT